AACTATAGCGACAGTAAGTTGATCTGTCAAAATATTATCGTCTTTTTTTGTTTTTTAAGTAGATACATTTTTATGTTCTTTATCTAAATTTCATTTAATATGCAAGAATAGTATGAGTAAGCGTATTCAACATTGTTGTTTTTTTGTTTTTCGTGAGAAAGATATGTGGTTTGCTATTTGCTCTCCGTATTAGCGGGAAATTTTCACTCAGAGCAAAAAGTCAAACGCACTATTTCAATAATATTTATAATGTTTTCGATCTATGTGTACAATATTAAAAAATAAACAAAAAGGAGATAAACGTCGCTAGGTGATAGTAGACGATACAGATTATGCTAAATTTTCGTTTTCATGTTGAACTTAAATCGGCGCGCGAATCTTGTTAAAATAACGTCAGGGGACACCTGCGCGTTCGGGAATTCCGATTACGCCCCATGTCACCCGATGTGTTGCACGCTGCTTTTTTTCCCCTACCTATTCTAGTAACCTCGAAGGGTTATTCTAGATTCACCGATCTAGTAGGCGAGCTCACGGGGCTCAAACCGGGAGTGTTGTGTTGCTAACACTGGCCCTAGCAAGAGCAGTGCTTCGCAGAATCTACCACCGGATCGGAAACGCGACCCACTGAGAAGATCCGGCGAGAAACTCAGTGGGTTGTGTCTATGGGTTAATTTACTCGTCGAGCCCTTCGTCTCAAGCGACGGGTTCGGCGAGAACGGTGACCGGAGCACGCTACAGACACAAAAGATTAGTCTAAATGTTTTAGTCCCCACATGTCCCAGCTTAAGTAGTATATCCCACATGAAAATAACACTTCCGGCTACCGATCGCTACCTTAATCTTAAGTGGTTACAATATCGACGGGAGAAAGCGGAAATGTCGTAACTTGCATTTTGGGCTAAATCACTTTTTAACATATTATGTTACAAATATGGTTATGGTGTAAAGTTGGGTTTTACGAGTTACGACTATTTCGCTTTCTTCCGTCGATATACTCATGGACATCGGCAATACCCGGGTCACAGTCAAGCCGCTGGTTTCTTAAGCTTAATCTACTAATGAGAATTATCTTGATAATTATATTTCGAAATAAACATCCATTCAATTTAATTCGTTTCATTTATTTTCAATTTTATTTATTAATTATCTTGAAATTATCATTACGTGTGTGCACCGCCCGCGGCCGTCGCCACGACGAGAATGCCATTAACGAAAATCAAATTTACATAGGAGATCGTGTTTAATATGTTATGAAATATCTCGTTATATTTTCTTAATTAAGACTGCCTAGATGTGTGGCTCGCATTTAGTATTTAGCATTGGAATTCATAGACGCTAGTGAACGCAATACTTAAAGCTTCGTCTGATGTTGTGTTTTTTTATTGCTTAGATGGATGGACGAGCTTACATCCCACCTGGTATTTAGTGGTTATTGGAGCCCATAGACATCTACAATGTAAATGCGCCACCCATCTTGAGATATAAGTTCTAAGGTCTCAAGTATAGTTACAACGGCTGCCTCACTCTTCAAACCGAAACGCTGCTTCACGGTAGAAATAGGCGGGGTGGTGGTAACTACTCGTGCGGACTCACAAGAGGCCCTACCACCAGTGCGTAAAATGATGTATAAAAACACCAGAGCACGTAAAATGATGTATATAAACAAAAAACCCAGTTGTGTTCCTTCAACTGTGATTGATGGGTACAGATAATGCGGCCTCAGGCGAGCTGCTCGCCCGTATGTCTTCGACATCCATAGAGATATTGATATTAAATTAAAGTGACTCCGCACTAGTCAGTATCATCAAAACAAAAGGCATATCGAGGAGTAACGGTTATTTGGTTTAAGCGAATATCTTCAAACTTCTGTTTTTATTATTATTGCCCTTGTAGGCAGATGAGCACACGGTCCACTTGATGGTGAGTGGTTGCCGTCGCCCATGGACTTCAGCAAAGCCAGGGGCAGAGCCAAGCCGCTGCCTACCGCTTAGTACTCTCCACAAGCCTCGTTTGAAGAAGGACATGTCATAGCCGGATGGTACGTGGCAAAAAAGATCTCTGGAAACGCACTGTGGATGAATGCAGTGGCTCCAGGTAGTATGGATGAACTTTACTCCGGTGGCGGGCGGCGCAATAGTAAAAACGAGATGATGTAATCATCTCTAATAATTCCTCAGAGCAGTCCCCATGGAACATGCGGTACAAAATGCAGAGAGAAGCGAAGTCCCTCCGCAGACCCAGAGGTTCCAAACGTTGCGTGAGAACGGATTTTCAGCTATTTGAATGGAATAAACTTGATTTAAGTTCAATTAAAAAAATCGAACTGTGGATGCCGATACCAAATAATACGCATCTTTAATAACAAAGATAAATGTCGCTTATTAAGAGAAATGTCGCTTAAACCGAATAGCTTTTCACCCCTCGATATGTGGTTTGTATTATGTTTAAACAGGCGAAGTCGTGTTCGTCGTGCGTGAACCAAAACAAAATCGATTAAAAAAAAGAACCACTTGGTATTCGCTCGGCATATTGTGTCCCACAAACACGTTGTACTCTGTCTCACGAATACACCTCACGTTTTTGTATCGATTTAAGAACGTATCAATGTTTTATCGATATATATATCGATTCAGACGTCAAAAATAATACAAATAATATACAGTCTTGTTGTTGTATGATTCGTATATTCGATATTTTTTTTATTGTCATTGTAGGCAGACGAGCATACGGCCCACCTGATGGTGAGTGGTTACCGTCGCCCATGGACTTCAGCAATGCCAGGGTCAGAGCCAAGCCGCTGCCTACCGCTTAATACTCTCCACAAGTCTCGTTTGACATGTCATGACTTCCAATTTATGACTTTATCTTACTTGAAATAGCGTCTTCTCCAGTTTATTGTTGTTGGGATATTTAGATAAGTCTACCCAGTGCATGAAATTATTTAAAGATGTCGCGACTTATTAACGATATTGGCGGAATTTTTAAGTCGACATATGCAAGGTCTACAGGATGTTTTTCAAGATGACAGCACAGCATTTTAATGGTAGGCAGCGGCTTGGCTCTGCCCCTGGCATTGCTGGCGTCTATGGGCGGCGGTAACAAGGGCAATTTTTTTTTACTAATGTAGAAATAATATTTCTCATACATTTCCTCCCACTCGTATTTCCTCCTAAAACTCTAATACTTTTATGTATGAGCATTCACATTTTCCAAATATCTAAATATATCAATCATAAATAGGTAGGTATATCAGATAACGTTTATGTAGAGGTTCTAATTGCTAATTTTTTTAAGGGATTTTATGACCTGGTAACTAAGACCTTTAAGTCATGTCTTATTTTAATTTATATTCTTATTTTTATGAAAAATGATGGAATGACATGAAATGAAGATGATTAATTTGAGACATTAATCAACTGGGATGAAATTGTATGAAATGAGATGAGATGATATGGGATGAAATATAATCTCAGTAAAATGGTGGTCATTTACTAAGATGTTTTTAGTGGTCTTTTTGGAGGATCTCAAGAAGTTACTTCCAGCAGCTTTATTTCATTTTCCCACATTTGTGCAATTTCACAGATATTAAACAGTTAATAAACTACCGTTATTACACATTTAAACCTGAAGAAACACTAAATAGACAAAATAAAACAAATCACACAACTTCACTCCTCGCGATCCCGCAAAGAAGTCCTCTAATTGCTCAACTTAACACATACAGGTTAAACAAATTATGTTTTTTTTTTCGATTGAGGTAAAAACTCACGCCTCCGTGGCACAGGCAACAGCCAGTATTACATGAAATCGATAATATCGGTAGACACTTCGCTAATGACACGTATCCGGTGTTCAAGCGAGGGATGAGTTATTGAGATGTTGTAAGTGGATTCTAAAATAGCTTCCTGCTTCACAGTTTTGTTTATTAAGGACATTTTTATTTTATGTTACGTCAGCGAGAGGTACATTTTGTGTGTTTAGGCAAAATTGGCTGTGTGTAGTAAGATACCTTATCTACAACTTTCCGAAAAATATAAATTGACAAGTTTTTGCGCCAAATCAAACTTTTCATTTGGTACTGAAAAATTCAACGCTACAAAAGAAACCACATCTTAACATTAGAGACACAAGTTGGAATTTGCATAATTTCTTGTTGCATTTAGTTCCACGTTCCACTTGCGAGTGTGAAGCGAGTAGTCGTACCTCTTGTGAGGTACCTGCCACCAGTAAATAGTAATTAAATGATACTGGTCGCGTTGGGACGCCTATCCCAAGCTGCTGGGTATATCCCACTCATCCATTGGTAATACTAAATTCTTCAGGAATATACCCACATACCGGTGCATCAGTCTATTATACCACAACCCCATATCTTTTCTTGGGTGTCGTAACCAAAAGATTCGCCGGAGAGTTGGCTACAGTGACCTTCTCTGAGCGTATAGAGGTCACGAACGAGTATGTACTAGTGGTAAGGCGTGTGATAAAATTGCACGGGCCGTTATCAAAATCTTTTTCAGTCGCAAAGCAGTCATTAGTCCCAATTCACCTGACTACGCAATAAAAAATATTCAAATTCAGACCATATGACTGTGAGGCCTAGAAATACATTTCACTAAAATAAAATGACTTGAAACTTGCATCATATATTTCAAATCTGATCCCAAACGTCGATTTTACATCCCAAGACAGACGGCAGTAGTAATCTTAGAGTTCCTATGAACTCCGGTAACGACTTAACGCCAGATGGGCCGTAAACCAACCAGCCCGTCCGCGTCAATGAAAAAAAAAAAACAGGTGCAATAAATACCGTTCATTTACCCCCCCGAATACCTTATACCATTTACGAGTCAACTCTTCATACAAAAGGCTCTCTCTCAATCATCCACGAAACATATTACTCTCTCTTTCAGTTGATACAGTTGACACGGTGAGAGCGAGCGAAACGTCTATACATCGAACAATAACCGCCAATACGTACAAACAACAGTCGCCCCAAAACTTCACTAAGAACAACACGCGCCCTGCTTGTGCTCACAATAAATAAATAAAACTTGCGTATTCAATTTGTGTCTTTTAAAGCTGTGTATAAATTGTGTGTGTGTGTAATTGTGTTTGTGTTTTGCGTGAATTGTCCTGTGTTGTTGTGTATAAGCGGGAATGAGTTGTGCGTTGTTATTCCGTCGTGTGTGAACCTAAGGTGGAAAGGTTTTGGATGTGTTCTCGAGGTAAGTGATGTTGTAATCATTCAAGGTAAAATCATTTATATACGAAGCTAAAATTCGAAAAACAAATGCACTGTGTACCTATTGTGTACAGAATACACGAAAATAATTTGAATACAAAGTGGTATTTGTACAAATTATATATACATATACATAAAAGTTTTATCAATAGATAATTAATATAATTTTTTGGCATTATTTTAGAAAATTTCGCTGTTAAGTATACGAATTTGAAATATGGTTGTGAAAAAGTTATTTGTTTATAGTTACTACCTTTCAAATATCCCCATCGGTCAAACAACAGAAAGCTCAAATCAAAATAAACTTAATTAAATGTTTAATTTAAAAATGAACGCACGAAAAAAAAGCAAGTACAAGAAATAAACGCAGAGCTTCCGAACTTAATTTATTTCGTCCACAATCGACTCTATCATTAATCAAAGCGATAGAGATCGGTAATGACAACGCTCTACTTTTGTAGAGTTTTTTATTTTAGTACATACAAACATGTTTTTGATTTTAGAACGGGGCAGATACTGGCTATGTCGGATAATCGATTTAGTGTAGGTGCATCTTTTGATTTTAGTATTATTTTTTTACTTTTCTTTGCACCGTCAGCCTAAGCCTATTTGTTGTGTCATTAACGATGTCAATGTTATATTAAAAAACAGACTGTCAACTATGAATTTCCCTGAAAATTCAAAACTCTTTATAGCCCTGAAAAAGGTAAGAACTATAGTATATACACATAGACTGTTATTTTCAATACAGTACAATCCTACTTACAGTGGTCACAAAATAATTTGATAAATATTTGTGTGTAAAGAAATACTCATAGTATTTAAATCAAATAGTAGATCGTCACTGCCTTGACATAGATCTCCAAGGGCCATGGATATCGCCATCGACCTGGGACTTCGTCGAGGAAAGTAGAGCGCTCCATTTCAAAATTCTGGATAAAAACACAGCTGAACGAACCAACCCTAGCACTGGGAAATATGGGCAATAATAACTCCTCTGATGTAGCTGGTGGTGCTGATCTTGAGCTTGCTGCTAATACTGGAAACCTAAGGAAGATATGGTGCAACTAAATATTGGGCTGGGCAGCGTGACTCCTGGTAAAAGTCTGTACGGAACAAGCCAGAAAGACTGAAAACAGCAGAAAAATAAAGCAAAAGATGCCACTTGCCTATTGGTCTCAACCCTGCATACGGCATAGCCTTTTAACGCCTTCACGGATATTGAGTCATTCTTGCCAACCAGAGAGGAATTTGAAATTTACCTAAAAAGAGACAAAGTTCCAGCTCTCAGTCCTATAACGTTGAAATACCAATAACTGATACTCGTATTGCTTACGAGATACCAAGGCTTCTATTAGACAAAATCCAGGTGAAAGAATATCTTCGAAATGATTGGTAAAAACAGTATATAATTACTGTACCAAAAAAGTCGATTGGAGATGAAGAAAAATTGGTTTGTTCTTCGTAGTATGAAGGTCCACGGCAAGGCGTTTCTCGAGAAATTATTGAGCACTGTTCAAAATTATTAAGGAGACAGATTTCAATCAAGCCTGCACAAATCACTACACTTCGAATCAACGTACAGAAATCAATAGAATGAGAATGTGAGTTGTACCTACCTACCTTGACACTGTCTAATGTCGCCATTTGGTCCCGACTAGACGTGATTACGCACTGAAAGAAGACTTTCGTTACGACTGTCACTAAGCTTGGAAAGTGTAGGGTGTGTACAATAATTGCCTTACCTTGACATTGGCGTGTCGGAAACTGGAGGAACTCAGAGTACATTTTTCTGATTGAGGGCTTACTGGTGCCCCGTAGACCTTTCCAGTTTTATCAGGAGAGGTGGGCGAGGAAGGGCTCAGCCTCAGCCAGGAGGGGCGAAATTTGCTAACAGCTACCCGAACGCCTCCAAAGAAGACCTAACGACTTAAAAGTAACTCGCGAATGAATCTGCTACCGGATCGGAATCGCGACCCGGTGAGAAAATCCGGCGAGAAATTCAGCGGGGTGATGTTTAGGTTAAGTTGCACGTCGAACTCTTTGCCGAGTTTGACGTGTACGGTTACCCGTGTCCCTAAGCCTGCCCCTAGTATTAGAGCTAAAGATATCTAATGCCCCTTGCATTATTGGATCTGATGGATTTGTAAGGACGTGTAAGCCCCTAGGGTAGCCAAAGCTGGGACCTATATGGTAATCTAAGAACCTGACGCGGAGAATTAATTTAAATCTATTCATTCTAACCAAAACTATCATGTTGCTGGACAGGTGCAGAAAGAACGATAAAATGCATCCGCAGAAGATCCAAGTCTTCCCAAGCCGATCCTCACCACCTGGTTTTGGATTTTTGGCCCGAATCGAAGAACTTTTTTAGGTTCTCTGTTCTAAATGGACGTGAATAGTTAATACGCCCACAAAAGCTCAAAATTACATTCCTAGATAGGCTTTAAAATGGACTATATAAGGGAGAAGGAAACATGATCGTCCTTAATAAGCCTAGAAACTTATAGTGGACTTTCACCGGAACTAAAAACAATCGAGTAATAAAAAATTTACCATGAAAAAAAAAGCCTGATTATTATAAAATTGAAACATAGATCTCAGTTCACATTGAACATATGGGTTCCAGAAACCGCTTAGCAACAAGTGGGCCGTAAGCTCGTTCTCCCATCTAGGCAATGAAAAATAACATAATGAACATAAAACAAATACTTCATCTAAGTTAATAAAGTTATAAAGTAATTATGGACACGTATGAACAAGGATCGCATACCGCGCCTCTTGTCCTGATTTTATCTCCCAACGAAAGACATCAACGCGATCTCTTGATTTTCGTTCCTTTGAATTTTCTTATTAAAATTTTAATTGTGTGCTGTTTATGTTTAAATTATTGATGTATTTTTATTAAAAAGGTTTTATTTTTAACATTTCATGTGATTGACGAATTAATTGTTTTTTTTGTTTTGTTATCTGTATTTTTCAACGTTTTTCGTTAGTTTTAAATTATTTAAACAAAAAAAACATCATAAGACGCAGTAATAGTAGCGTAATTCGTTCTTAAATATGCACTTACTGCACTTGAACTTAGAATCCAAAATCGGAAAATATCTATGTTCACTACGATCCAAATCTCGAACTCGTCTGTAAGTATATGAAAGCAGCGTTGCAAAGCTCTACTTAATGAGCTTCTTTATTATCACCGCTGCTGATTACATCCCTAACCAAGCTCACGCAGCAGGTAACCATCACTGTTATTCTAAGTCGCGAAGAACCAAACCGATTCCCTGCAGGGTTGCTATTAATTCTATTCTTAGCACAGTCTTTGTAGGCTTTGTAGCTTTAGTAGGTAACGGCTTGGCGCTGCCCCTGATATTGCTGAAGTCCATGGGCGACGGAAACCACTCATCATCAGGTGGGCCGTACGCTCGTCTGCCTACAAGGGCAATAAAAATAATACAAAAAAGCCACCAGTTATCTGTACTCTTCGAACTAGTCGAGGATTTCGACGTGATAGTTAGGTCTTATCATCAGGTCGTTTCTCATCACGATTCCGGATGGACTCACAAAGCAGCTACTCTTAAGCTAAGGTACTTAGGCCTCTAGTTAAAAAAATCTACTAGTCCTAACTAATCCCTGGTGAAGCGGAAAAACTTCTGCCCATTAGAAAAAAAAAGAAGAAAAAACCGACGAACATAAGTTCAATTTACTAAAATTAACACGATTCCTCCAATTTTATTATCCTGACATAAATAAATTATGCAGTGCGTTGTGTGGGCTCAATAAACAACCCGCGTGGGAGTAACCCGACGGACGAGAGATTTATTTAGACTATTTTTATTTTATTCACTCGGACAATGCATCAGAAAATAGTTTATGGCTCTTGATCAGCTGCGTGATAAAACTATTTCGTCGGTATCACAGAGTACCTGAGATTTGGTTAAACTTTCGTTGTGTGTATAACATTTATTTTAATTAGTATTGATGGCCCGTCGCTTCAGGTGACATTCCACGCCTTGATCAACAGAAGCCACTGAAGAAAGATTCTAAACTAATTCAGAAAAGCATCTCTCACTGAAGTGTACGATAGGCAGCGGCTTGACTTTGCCCCTGGCATTACTGAAGTTTATGGGTGACGGTAACCACTCATCATCAGATGGGCCGTATGCTCGTCTGCCTACAAGGGCAATAAACAAAAACAACAAAAAAATAACATAAACAAACAAAGACTGAATAACAAAACGAATTAAACTTTAATTAAAAACAAATTTATGGTTTAATTTGGCGCTTTTTATTTTCTATTTTACTGTTCCTGAAATTTCGTACAATTAAAAGGTTCAGGTACATCTATTGAGACTCTTATTTTTGACTCAAACCATAAAGTATAATGAACTGAAAAAAAAAACACTTTTACTGATTAATGAAGCCTTTTTATCTGTCAATAGTTACTGGTATTATTGCACTATTATAGCCCGCAAAATTATAATTTGCGTAATTACTGATGGTAGGACCTCTTGTGAGTCCGCACAGGTAGGTACCACCGCCCCGCCTATTTCTGCCGTGAAGCAGTAATGCGTTTCGGTTTGAAGGGTGGGGCAGCCGTTGTAACTATACTTGAGACTTTAGAATTATATCTCTCTCTATTATATCTCAAGGTGGGTGGCACATTTACGTTGTAGATGTCTATGGGCTCCAGTAACCACTTAGCACCAGGTGGGCCGTGAGCTCGTCCACACGTCTAAGCAATAAAAAAAATGTGTAGGATTCAGCGGGCGGGAGAATGAGATAGAACACATTAGACGTTCTCGGTCTCCTCTTTGTGCGACTCTTCGTAGCATCCCCACTATCGTCTACTAAACATTGTCCATATGTATGCTCATGTGTAGTAGGATAGTCGGTGTATCTATATCTTATTTATAAGTTTCACTTCTACCGTGTATCACACACACACTTTTATTTTTCCACTTGGTTTTAATGTTATTTATCGATATTTTTATCTTATTCACAACCGCTTTTATGCAAGATGTGTTCACACCCAAAGGGGTGATGTCTAAAATATATATTTTTTTTCTAAATAAGTTCAATGTTTATGTGTTCAGATTTTATCCAGTTGTGTGAAACTATTAAAAAAAATGTTTGATATCAAAACTTATTAAGTCAATTACGGGTTTCAAGACAAGCCACGCTTCCGAGATTAACCACCGAAATAAACTGTGCGAGCCTGAGTTTTTTAGTATTCTTTTTACCCAATAATTTATATCAATTTAGAGAACAATTCTTATATAATAATTTTTTTTTACCTCTTTATTAAATACGTGTTTATTACATACCAGTTTCACGTAAGTATAAATCGAACAAAGCGATATAAATCGTATAAAAAGATTTAATAAAGCTTGCATCATACATTGTTTCAAACCACTAAGCATGGTACTAACTTTTTATTATACAACATGCACACACGACCTCACGACGTTGTTTTCGACGAGAAAGCCTCATGCTCGTCTATACTACGATAAAATTGTGGTGAAGGTACGAAAATATCCGCTGATATATACAAGATATATCTATAGAGCATATAGAGTATATCGTATGTGGGAAGATCAGTATTTTTGATTTAGGTTCACTCACACTGGCACATTAGAATTATTTTAAAATAAGAAAAAAGGTCAAATGACTGGCATCGATTGACATTTAAAGTTTCGCCTTCATGTCCCAAGACGGGCGGAATATGGCTCTGATCTCCAATAACTACTCAACATCAAGTTTACAGTAATAAATCTAGAGTAAAAGTTCTCCATTCGCGGGATATATGTTTCGTAAATATGCCGCGGACACAGAAACCGTGAATGTGGAATGGTAATTTACATGTTTTTGGAGTTTACTCCTTTAGAATCGATTTACATATATAGGCCCGGGGTATGAAAATTATGGGGACCAAAATCGTACTAGCATGTCACACGAAATGCGTTATGCGCCTGATTGCGCATGTCACACGAAATGCGCGCCGGGCTGCTGCGCCGGCAGTCCGCCACAAAGCCTCGTACTGATCGCGCGTTTCTCTCATTATTGTATTTTCATATATTTGTTAGTCGTTTGTTTGGTGTCTCGTTAATTTGTTAATAATCTGTAGTGTATCGTGTTGTCGTAATATAGAACTATTTCTCGTATTGTTTCGTTTAATTTTTTATATCCAGTAAACTCCAGTCGTGCGTCGGAGCGGACACACACACTTTTTTTTTTTATTGCTTAGGTGGGTGGACGATCTCACAGCCCACCTGGTGTTAAGTGGTTACTGGAGCCCATAGACATCTACAACGTAAATGCGCCACCCACCTTGAGATATAAGTTCTAAGGTCTCAGTATAGTTACAACGGCTGCTCCGCCCTTCAAACCGAAACGCATTACTGCTTCACGGCAGAAATAGGCAGGGCGGTGGTACCCACCCGCGCGGACTCACAAAAGGTCCTACCACCAGTAATTACGCAAATTATAATTTTGCGGGTTTCATTTTTATTACACGATGTTATTCCTTCACCGTGGAAGTCAATCGTGAACATTTGTTGAGTACGTATTTCATTAGAAAAATTGGTACCCGCCTGAGATTCGAACACCGGTGCATCGCTCAACACGAATGCATCGGAGTCCTATCCGTTAGGCCACGACGACTTCTATAATACTATAATACACGAGTAATAAATCTAAAGTAAAAAAGTTTTTTATTCGCGGGATATATGTTCCGTAAATACGCCGCGGACACAGAAACCGTGAATGTGGAATGGTAAGTTACATGTATGGGAGATTATAGGGGATACGATCCTAGGCGACAACAAATAAATACATACTTTACGCACAGTTGTAATAAGGTCTAGTTTGTCACCGTCATTTGACGACGCGTTTACACAGAACATTCGGTCTGATATCTACATATTGGAATCATTTTTATCAATGTGTAAGTACCGATTAGATCCGCGAACATATGATTTGTTGACGAGCTTTTACTGTATTTAGAAATAGACTCAGCCAAACTATCGTGCAGCGCTTCTGAATATTGTGAATTAAAGCCTTCGTCAAACAGAACGCGTAATTAGCGCGCGTTAGAGCGCTAAACTGACGCCGCGCTATGACGCCGAGATGTGTTGTACTACTATGGTAACATACCGTCAAACAGAGCCCCAGCGCTATAAGTACGCAGCGCTCTGTCGCGGCGTTAGGACGCTTTGACGTCAGGCGTTGTAATTTTTTACAAATTTTATTTTAGCGTCCGAGTGAATGTGTATAAAATACTAGATAATGCCCGAAAAAATGATATACTTAAATAGTTAGAAAATACCCATGCTTATACAATGCCACATCTGAATCACTCAGTTTCTTAATACTTTTAAATTTTCACAGTGTTATCGAAAGGCACTATGATTTGGCGAATGCGTTGCGTCAAGGAGCGTTAGACTCATCTGGTCAATTTGAAGACCGCGACGTTAAGTACGCGGCGCTAAGTACGCGTTCTGTTTGACGAAGGCTTAAGGAATTTAGGTTACGTTTCAAATAAAATACAAATTCATAGTTAAATACCATCGAAACTAACCAGACAGGTGATAATCAAATAAGATTTATTCAATCATAATTTAATAGACATAAATCGTATTGATTAAAACATTTCTACAGTTAATATCGTTAATTTTTTCAATATTTTATTACTTTTTTATTGGCTGTAAACGAGGGCAGATGATCTCACGGCTCCTCTGGTTTTATCGGACACTGTATACGTAAAACATGAGTATCGCACTTTGAGACATGAGGTCGGTTTGGGTCAAGGTCGTATTCAAATATATTTTTTTATTGCCCTTGTAGGCAGACGAGCATACGGCCCACCTGATGGTGAGTGGTTACCGTCGCCCATGGGCTTCAGCAATGCCAGGGGCAGAGCCAAACCGCTGCCTACAAATAGTTTTTACCTTAACATTGAAAAAAATCGTGCATTGTTTTAGCAACAGAAACAAGGAGCATTATCGCCTTATGATTTTTTTTTATTGCTTATTGGACGAGCTCACAGCCCACCTGGTGTTAAGTGGTTACTGGAGCCCATAGAAATCTATGTCGTAAATGCGCCACCTATCATCTTGAGATATAAGTTCTAAGGTCTCAGTATAGTTCCATTTTACATGATCTCACAGCACTAGAATATCTTCGTTTTGTATACAATGAAGGGATAATACAAACTTCTGCGAAGCATTGCTCTAGCTAGGCCTAGTGTTAGCAAATTCTCTCAGATTGAGCCCGTGAGCTCACCTACCAGTCCGGGCGTAGCTGGAATGGCTTCTTGCGCTACCAGCGATTAATTAGGAGAAAAAAAAACAATATTAACTAAATCGACCGTTACTTAAAAAATATACTGTAAAAACTGAAAAATCAAGCATTGATAGGAAGCCGCAATAATAATTAAAATAATATTTATTTTTGTTTTGATTCAGATCAGAATTTCAGGTCAAAATAATAAAATTATTGTACTGTCATAGTTACTTGAAAGGTATGCAATTTTTTTAATTAATCGAGCTCTAATAATAATTATATTATTATTATTTATTAATTATATTATTACAGATTTTGCTTTGTTTTTGATAAATCCATTGTAGATCAACATAGACGTAGATAACATTTTCTGTTTTACAATTTTTTGGACGCACCATTGCGATCGCACGCATATCTGAGATCACTGCCTTTGTAATCTGCTATTATTTAATTGTGTTCTTATTTCGAGCCTAACCTACAAATGACTGACCACGAGGACCCGGCTGATGATCGGGAAGAGCTCATCCCGACATATATATGTTCATCTTATATATAAAATTCTCGTGTCGCAATGTTAGTTACCATACTCCTCTGAAACGGTTTGACCGATTTTTATGAAATTTTATATGCACGTTCAGTAGGTTTGAGAATCGGCTGCTATTTATTTCTCATACCCTTAAGTGATAAGGGTGGTCCAGCTCTAGCATTAATTTTTTTATTTTTTGGATAATTTGTTCGTTAAAATGAGGCATTATGTGGTTGAATGAGGTTTTGTTATTTTTATATTCCCTCATCGTTCACAACGCTACATGCCTCTTTCACTCATTTACTAAATCCTTACATACTTACAATAAGTTAATTTTATTTCTACACTAGAAATTCCCTAGAAATCTCATATATGGCAAAAGCACGTTTGCCAGGTCAGCGAGTTATAGCTAAAACAGTATTTACAGCCAATACCACCACATGTAATACGGCACAAAAGATCCCCAGCGTATAATTTCAGCGGTTGGCCACCAGCTGTCCGTGGTGATGTCAGTAAAGTAGGGAACCGGCATCCGACGTGGGATCTCTTCGGTGCCAAACAGCGTCACCTCAAGTAAGGCCTTGAACGAGAAGTAAAATCGAAATTCTATGAACGCTGCACTTTTGAAGTACACGAAGCATTCTAACCTGCAATAGGAGTACATAATCTTATATCTTTAAACGAGCAATTCTTATATATAAATCTATATATTAATACGTGAAGCAAAAACTTTGTATCGCTTTTTACGAAAATTGCGGGCACGGAGGAGTATGAAATTTTCCACACTTATAGAGAATATAGAGATGAAGTGCACAATGCTAAGCATTACATTAAATCAATAAAGAAAACATTACACACACTACATACCATGTATTTGACGCACACACGCATGCATACTATTTCAAACTACTATGTCAAACTTTTGTTCTTGACGTCTGTGGTCAAATTGAGAATAGATTTTAATGTTAATCATTTATTTAATCGTTACAACTTAAGGTATAACAAGGTATAACAAGATAGTTTTAAATTAATAATTTTGTGCAGCGACCGGCGCATGCGCGTTATTCAAATTTTTCGAAACTCACTGACTGCATTTTTATGAATCCTGCGCAGGTGTCGGTCGCGCGGCGTTGCTCGACACTTTTGGGTTCCGCTTAGCGTGCGAGGATTTTTTTATTATATTTCGGTTCCGCACGTTACACACTCCCCCTTTTGACCTGGCGAGAAATCCTTGACTGGTCAAACAAACAACGCGGAATGAGACCCAGTCTACTCCACCACCCTACGCGGTCGACCCCGGCGGCGCTTGGGAATCACAGGCTCGGGACATACATCCTCCCTCGCATGATAAGGTCGCAAATCCGAGACATGATACTTACCAAAAACTTCGCCCGACGACTCGTATGCTAGAAGGTAGGAAGTAGGACTCACCTTTTTTGAAATCACATATGGCCCATCCCGCTTAGGATTAAACTTCGACGTAATACCCTTACTAGCATTACTAAGTACGTGGGTCTTCATCAATACGAGATCCCCTTCTGCAAACTGGTAAGGTTCAGAGCGCCTTAGATCAGCGCGCGTCTTTTGAATATCTTGATGATGTTCAATATTCTCCTTAGCGGTCGAGATGGTCTCGGCAAGCTTGGACAAGTATGGGCTTATCTGGGGGACAAAGTTCTCGGACTCTACGACGGCGCGAAGATCAAGCTGAGCGGATATTGGAGATCGGAGCTCACGACCAAAGGTAAGATAAGCTGGCGTTTGCTCGGTTGACGTGCAGACGGAACTATTAAAAGCGAATCGGACGAACGACAGTACCTCAGGCCACTGCTGGTGACGGCCTTCAAGCAATATGGCAAGATGAGCCTTTAAGTCCCGATTCTTCCGCTCAACCGGATTGGCTTCGGGATGATAAAGAGGAATGAGATTTTGTTTTACCCCTAAAACAAACATAGCCTTTTGCATGACATCGGCCACAAATTGAACTCCGTTGTCGGAAATCATCCGGCGAGGCACTCCGAATCTCATAAAGACTTCATTAACGAGGGTTTTTGCACATACCTCGGCAGTGGCATCAATGAGAGCGAACAGCTCAACCCACTTACTGGCGGTGTCTTCGACTATCAGGATCCACCTCTCACCGCAGNTTTTTTTTATTGCTTAGATGGGTGGACGAGCTCACAGCCCACCTGATGTTAAGTGGTTACTGGAGCCCATAGACATCTACAACGTAGACGCGCCACCCACCTTGAGATACAAGTTCTAAAGTCTCAGTATAGTTACAACGGCTACCCCACCCTTCAAACCGAAACGCATTACTGCTTCACGGCAGAAATAAGCAGGGCGGTGGTACCTATCCGCGCGGACTCACAAGAGGTCCTACCACCAGTAATTACGCAAATTATAATTTTGCGGGTTTGATTTTTATTACACGATGTTATTCCTTCACCGTGGAAGTCAATCGTGAACATTTGTTGAGTACATATTTCATTAGAAAAATTGGTACCCGCCTGCGGGATTCGAACACCGGTGCATCGCTTCAACACGAATGCACCGGACGTCTTATCCTTTAGGCCACGACGACTACTCGTACTCGCTTAGCTCGTACTCTCAAATCGGATACGGTAGTAGCTATGCCCCCCCTCGTAGGCCCCTCAGGCCGACTCGACTGAATAAGGCGATATTGATATCGCCTTATTCATCAGTTCAATATCGACGACAATGAGGAAAATTATAAGAACGATTAAATATTTTTCTTTGACATGTAATATTTTGTTTGTACTTTATAATATTAAAATAACATTTTTTATTTTCTATAATATTGCTATGAACGTAATAAAATAATTTTTTTATTGGATATCTTAAAAGATCACAATAGACTAAGCACTCTATCTCGCTCACACCCGCTTGAACAGTTGCTACCTCGCGCTCGCACCTACAGCGGGCTCTCAATGTGTCTGGCAAGATGTAAGAACCATTAAAACTGTCCGGCTATTGGGGTAACATATTTTTATAAGTCCCTAAGTAACATATATAAAATTTAGCTTTTATAGTATAACGAAAGTATAATTAAAATTTATTAAAGTTTAGGGGTGTCTGGCAGGGGGTAACAACTGGAAAAAGTGTCCGGCAACGGATATCATGATTTCTAAAGATATTCTGGAGTAAATATTAAAAAAAAAAAACCTTTATACTTTAACGAATTTAAGGTACTATTTTATATACCTTTACTGCCTGTTACCTGCCCAAGTAACCACAATAGAAACTCTATAATCGCGGGTCGTTCTTACCTGTGTTGGAGACATACACAGAGAAACTTTCAGCTTTTATAAAATAACGAAGGTCTGGCTGTCGCGGGCTCTTGGGCTAGAAGATTCCTGACACATGCCTGGCGTCACACCGCCATTGCACAACTATTCTCGCAGCGTATCCACGCGACGTCAACCCTTTCACAGTGAGATCCGTATATAATCAATGACTTACATGCTTCTGCAGCATATTTGCGCATTTTTGTTAAAATGAGAATCTAAAATAGCACTTGGCGTTGGGCAGGACCTTTTTTTTAATTCGGACCGGCGATCGAACCACGTACGATGTTCCCACTCTTAGGGGGCGCATAGGATAGGGGGGACCGGTAGTCGAAAATGATACAGGCCTACCCACTAAGCGACTCCCCTGCGCTAAGCTCCTATCTCTGACTTAGCGTTCTCTTTAGACGACGGTAGCCATATTCGCTCAGATTAAAGATATATTTGAAAAAGCCATCAAAAAAACAAACCTCAACATCTCCATAAGTGATGTAAATGATGGAAGACTTCTTTGAGGATCTCTTGATGATAGCATCACCGGGAATATAATGTATCGTTTCCGTCTTCTTAGCTAACTCAGACAGGAACTGATTTGAAAGATCCCGCAGAATTCTAGTCTGAAAATTAAGGTTTCCTAATCGTTGGTTATTCATTGGTGACGATGATTTGACAAGATGTACATATTCTGCACTAGTCAATAAAATCTTCGTCCCCTTTCCGCTCATCACCTCATGAGCTGGGTCACGAAACACAATGTGGTAATATCCCTTCTAGATTATAGACATCAGTCTTTCTCGGACAAAATATGCTTTGGCTTAGGAAAGAAAACTACCCGGAGACAATGCGAAAGCACCTTCACAATGAACAGTTTAAGTATATAAATTACGTGTTTTTCGGAAGAAATATAATAATATGGGCATGCGAGTCTGGCCGGGGTTGATTTAGCAAAACACTGCTCTTAAAAGGGCAGATATCAGCAATCTCTTTCAGGTCCCCGTGAACTCGCCCACCAGTCAAAATGAAGCCAGAATAGCCCCTCGAGGATACTGGCAGATAGGAAAACAAAAAACGGGGTCTACGGCTCCGAGCTATGGGCGTCCACCCTTCCAGCTGGAGCACTTGATTACTTCACTATACAGACAGGATGAGAGTTAGCTCCCCAGTAGATTTGTCTTGTCTACAGATACATTATTACTTTCCTCAGTTTACTTCCCAAAACTGGTCAAGAAAAGTACATATTGTAATATTTCATCTGTTAACCTTCTGTGTGGCTTCGAAGTATATATCGTTGTAGACAGCGGCAGGTAAGGTGGGGGGGAAGGTCGGCAGCAGTTCAGTGCGAGACACGGCCTTCTGCTTGTGCCAGTACATCTTGTAGAATGTCTCCACCCTCTCCCGCTGACGGGCAGGCAAGCGCGAACCTTTCTAATAACACATGAGACGTGTTCACGTAGGGGCTGGAATATACTCTTATAATAATATTGTATAATAAACGTAGCAAGAACGAGTATAGCCCGAAGAAACCCACGATTTGGGTTAAATAGGTATATAGAATAAATAGATCGACAACTTTGGAACAATTCCTAAAATAATGCATACGTTATTTAATATAGATTTTTTTTGTATATCAGATTCCCGAGACCTCACAACGTGAATGCTGCCTTAAGACTCAGGTCATAGCCTACCTCAAGTTCGGAATCCCAATTGTAGTTTATAGCGGCTGTTCCACCCGTCAAACAAGGGCTCATGACTGCTTTGCGGCAGAAATAGACAACATGATGGTAGCTATCTGTGCGGTCACAAATTCACTCAGGAATCATTCCATGTATGGTCGGGTTCTTAAAGATAGAAGCATGTTCGTTAAGCGCGATACGTTAATTGATTAATTATTACCATCTGTGGGCTGATGTTATGTGCCCACGAGCAACCGCCACTTTGGTGAGATATACGACAAAGGGAAAATCTTCCACCGAGCGGGTGATATTGCTCGGTAGACCGACGGTCCAGATCTTGTTGTTCGGAACTTGTATATATGCAAGCTTATCTTAAAAATGTCGTAAGCGAGATTCAGGCATCTGTCAAATATCTTGTGTTCTGTGATGGGTACTTCTCCCGGTTTGATGTGAGCCTGGTACACTCATGCAAACAACCGCCAACTGCCACTTGACTCGGTCGGTCCATTACATAGGCAACCTTCTACGCGTATAACATCTGCCCACAGCAAAGATACTCAATGACAACCACGACCGCTCTGACAAGAGTGATACGACAAACGATGATTACCATCTCCTTCATAATGAGCTTATATCGAGCTTGGAACTGCTCTTCGGGGCGCATGTACAGACTGATCACCAGAGACAGGGACGCGACCGCTGCGCCGGTCACCACAAGGCATCCCATCATCATCACGAGCATGCAGAGAACTCGCTCCAAATCGTTGCCGGGCGCTACTGAAGGACTGTATCAAGTAATACATTTCTAATTAATCAGCTTTATCCAGGACACGAGCATGGAGACTCAAACCGGTGAAACGTTATCAAAATATTGTGAATACATTTTACAAATTAGACATTTCATGTAGGTAGCGCTTATTCTCAGCCACATTCGTATCCCAGAGTTGTTCTGCAGATGCACTGTGCTGTTAATACAAAGACAAAGGTCAGTCCACCAGGGCGGGCGTGTAGTGGAGCCTACAGCCGATGTACGAAGCCACAGTGGAAGTACTGACTACTGACGATAACTATGGCCCTGTGAGGTGGATAGTAACAGTTATGTCGCCGAAGGAAGCCGGATCGCGTGCCCCTGGGAGCTAGGAACGTAACGGAATACAGGATAATTGTTTCCCCACAACATACATTGACATTGTTATGGACATAGGTGACGGTGGTGTTGTACCCGTGCAAAAGTAAACTACTAAAAAACACGCTTTTTGAACCAACCAACCAACAGGCAGATATTTATTGTGAACTTGTAAAGGAGTGCCGAATGGTTATATCGTCACATTTTTATCACAAAAACCAACCCATAGTGCCATATTATTCTATGGTCATCAGATGTACACGCCTTTGCCAAGCTACATGATTATGAGACATGATGACGGCAAACGGTGTAACGTGGTTTTCGGAAACTATTAACATCATAACGTGAATGGCTGCTTGAGACATGAGGTCGGGGTTTACAGAAATTGGCTTCATAGTGGGACCTAGACACGCAAACTAACAGTCACTGTGTGAACACATTCAACGCAACTCCAGTCAAAAAAGAGAAAACGCGTAATACGCTACCCTATCGGTATGAACATCTTGTTGACGCTGTACAGCGCATTCACGAAGCGGACTGCGGCCGACCCCATGAGCTTGCCTTTGAGGTCGGTTTCCGAGTGGAGGGCGTACAGAGCCCGCTTGACATGTAGGAGTCCGGCGAAGTCGCGTTCCAGCTTCAGAAACACAAATATTTTAAAAAAACACGCTTAATAGCAAACCGAATTAAGAACATTTGTTTTTTATCGTTTCTGATATTAAACCAAAGTAATAAAATTATTGTATCTTCATTCTTGATTGAAAATAAAAAGTAGCTTCTTTATTGAACCTCTATGGGTTGAACTATTCTTCTTGATTGAAAATGAAGTGTGTAAAGTTATCGTGGTATGCGTAAAGAGGATGATCATGTGGCCAAAAAGAGCTTGGGTCTTAAAATAGGCGGTAATTTAAGGGGGAGCGTGCTAAAAAGACTTATAAGGACTATGTGAAAGAGGATATGCGTGAGATGGGTACGAAGGCAGAGATGATGAATGATGGGCCTGAATGGAAAAAGAGGATATGGTGCGTCGACTTCACACATTGCGATGAGGCCAGGATGAAGACGATTGTCATTATTACTTGATGCGTGCTAAAATTTTCAAGTTAACGTCATCATAGGGTTGGTGCAAATTACGTTAAAAGTCTTTGCTACATTAATAGATAGATAGATATAGTTCAAGTTAGTAAAAGGGTGTTAAAAATAAGTAAACGCAGAGATGTAACAAAAATTAAAAGTTAAGTTTACAAATGCACATCTGTATCACAGACAAATACAGGATTAGAATAAAACTGCAAAGACGCAGGTGAGACAACTTTGAGACAATAGAACCTTTTTAAACATTTTTAAAGGTTTGAAGTAGATAGTTCGAGTTTTTTTTTAATAAGAAAAGAGGTACCTAGTTCGATCTCAGGTTTCCAGCTGAGCGACGGCATTGATCATTGTGTCTATGGTCTCCAGATTAATCTTAAGTGCAGTGGAACTCGTGCCCACAAACATTTGTGAAACAATTATATTTGAAATATATTTTTTTCAAAATCGCATTTCAACTACAAAGATTTTGAACATTCTTCCGATCTTGGTTCAAAATATAACTTTCGTAATAAAAATAAAAATAATTCATCATCTTCATAAAACATATCGAATATTTTATTTAAATATAAAGTGGAGGAAGCCATAAAACAAATTTAAGAGTGTCGTAATTTTTAAACTATCGTGTCGTCGTGGCCAATGCCAGCTCATTCTCTTTAGAACTCATAGAATACGACCTCGCTCCAGAGTATAATTAATATTTAATAGCCGTTATAAAATTTAATGTGGCTACATATTTATTTAAGCACTATAGGTCCACGAAGAATTTCCATGTAGTTTTTTTCTTTTCCTACCTATGCTGATAGCCTTGAGAGGCTATATTAGCGTTACCCTAGCGTGAAGGTAAGCTCTCGGGGCTCAAACCGGGGGTGCTGCTAACACTGGCCCTAGCAAGAGCAGTGCTTCGCAGAATCTGCAGAAACCACCGGATCGGAAACGCGACCCACTGAGAAGATCCGGCGAGAAGCTCAGTGGGCTTCCATGCCGTTGCGATGACGAATTGTAGTGATAATGTAATGTATAGTAAAGGTTGCGGTTTAATGGGTTGGACGGCCAATTTATACTTAGACCTAGCATCTCAAGGGTCCGTTAATTGTTTTTACATAACCACGTCGTGATCGTACAAATTTTACAGAGTTTCGTGTAAACCATTAGAACATTACATTCCAAATTTACTTGAAAACGTCATTGGCGCCATTTTGTTTTTTTAGCACATTTTTTCGATTCAGTAACAAATTGCTCTGCGCCAAAATATAATATGCACAATGTTATTCTGTTTGTGTGGTCGCCGAGACCAATTTATCTTGAATTTTTTCCACTAATTCTTAAAATCACTATTAGTATTTGCCATCAATTGAAATTATGATTTTTTTTTTATTTTTTTTTTTATTGCTTAGATGATGAGTACTAAACTCTCGGCAGGTAATTAAAAAAAATATCACTTGAAATATCTATGGTATAATTTGGACACTCAATGGAAGTCTTCACCTGTGGGCTCGCTATGGTCATGTGTGCTTACAGACCGCAGATTACGTCTATGAGCTTTGCTAACAATTGAGGAATTCGTTTTAAATCAAGCTAATATGAAAACATGACTTGCCTGGTCGATATTGAGCCAAACGAGGGCCCACGTGACCCTCAAAACCAAGCAAATGTAGCAGTATTTGAGCGTCGTGCCGAGAACACTTCCATTCAAATAATAATTGTTCAGTTCCCCTGGAATTATTCAGTTTTATTGCTAGTACTTACAATTATTAAATAAAAAAAACGTTTGGCGCCACTGCCCGGTGTATATTTACGAAAGCGTCTACATAAACAATAATCCTCTTCTCTTTTGATATGTAGCCAATACAATGAATATTTAAATATAAATACCGACGAATAGTATTATAGTGGTTTTATTTTATTTTATTGCTTAGATGGATGAACGAGCTCACAACCCACCTGTTGTTAAATGGTTACTGGAGCCCATAGACATCTACGATCTAAATGCGCCACCCACCTTGAGATATAAGTTCTAAGGTCTCAAGTTTTTTTATTTTTTTTATTGCTTTAATATGTGGACGAGCTCGCAGCCCACCTGGTGTTAAGTGGTTACTGGAGCCCATAGACATCTACAACGTAAATGCGCCACACACTTTGAGATATAGTTCTAAGGTCTCAGTACAGTCACAACGGCTGCCCCACCCTTCAAACCGAAACGCATTACTGCTTCACGGCAGAAATAGGCGGGGCGGTGGTACCTACCCGTGCGGACTCACAAGAGGTCCTACCACCAGTAATTACGCAAATTATAATTTTGCGGGTTTGATTTTTATTGCACGATGTTATTCCTTCACCGTGGAAGTCAATCGTGAACATTTGTTGAGTACGTATTTCATTAGAAAAATTGGTACCCGCCAGCGAGATTCGAACACCGGTGCATCGCTCGATACGAATGCACCGGACGTCTTATCCTTTAGGCCACGACGACTTCTGAAGTGTAGTTACAACGGCTGCCTCACCCTTCAAACCGACACGCATTACTGCTTCACGGCAGAAAATAGGCGGGGCGGTGGTACCTACCCGCGTGGACTCACAAGAGGTCCTACCACCAGTTAGTGGTCCCAAGAATGCTTCATAACACTTACATAGGTATCTGAAAGGTCGGTGTAGCCTAATGAAATAACAGCCAAGCTTGAAGTCCTGCTGGCGGCTCACGTAATGAGAATACGTCACGAGATCCAATAAGAATCCAACTGGAAATATATTTATCTATTAATTTTTGCTTTAGGCGAGCAGGCGACCTAACAGTCCGCCTGATAAATAAGTGATATCGGGAGCAGAGCGTGATTGCCGCCACCCAGCTTAGAACATGAAGTCGAAGTCTATAAGACTTCTATAAGATTTCATATTTGCCCGCTGAATAGTCCGTAAAAATATAACAAGAAAATGTCTGTTTGTTACTGGTGGTAGGACCTCTTGTGAGTCCGCACGGGTAGGTACCACCACCCCGCCTATTTCTGTCGTGAAGCAGTAATGCGTTTCGGTTTGAAGGGTGGGGCAGCCGTTGTAACTATACTAAGACCTTAGAACTTATATCTCAAGATAGTAGGCGCATTTACGTTGTAGATGTCTATGGGCTCCAGTAACCACTTAACATCAGGGGGACTGTGAGCTCGTTCACCCACCCAAGCAATAATAATAAAAAAATGTCTACTTTAAAACATAAGTTCCAAATTCAGTGCATTAAAATGAAATATGTCAAACAAATCTTAGGTGTAAAATCTTAATACGATTTATATATATCTTTTAATACTTTACTGTCTTCTGCCTGAATTAGGAATTTGGCAGACTGATGCTAACTGGCAACACCTATCAAAGAACTACAACTGAGATTTCTTTTGTAACTAAAACTTATCATTAAAAATACTTATCATTCTGAGTGTCTATTAAAATTGTTTATATTCACAATAATAATAATAATAATGCATTTCATATTGGTAGCTATAATATTGCTATCGGTGCGAGTAACGCCATCTCTGATCAAATAGCAGAAACGGATATCAAAACAACCAGTATAACAGGAAGGTTCGAAAATGTTTTGGCGGTACGGGTAACGTCATCTGTTATCACTTAACGAAAACTGATGTCGAGTCGTTTCAGAAATGTTCTGGAATATTTTAGACATGTCGTTTCGACTACAAGGCGTTTAGCCCATCTTCGGATCTCGCCGGATCTTCTCAGTGGGTCGCGTTTCCGATCCGGTGGTAGATTCTGCGAAGCACTGCACATGCTAGGGTCAGTGTTAGCAACACCGGTTTGAGCCCCTTGAGCTCACCTACACACGTTAGAGCAAAGCTGAAATAGCCTCTCAAGGCTATCAGCATAGGTAGAAAAATAAAAAACAAAAGCGTTTCAAAGACAGTTGGTCAATCTGCATCATCAACAATCTGTTCTATTCGAAACGAAACACCGAACCGATCACCGGAAGCGAAGCGAAGAACACAATTGGGCTTTATGAAGTGCACCTTATGTGTAGTAATAATTAAATAGAGTTAAACATTGACGTCATTGTTCACCATAATTTGCAGCCTAGCTTGAAATCTAAAGGCTCGTAATCTGAATTTCGATTTCGTTAATCGGCTGTATTAGCTTTTGAGAAAATAGTAATAATTCTGATCCAGCTAGTGGGATTTGCTTAATTTTACACACCTAGTCACATCAACCTTGAATTTTGCTACTGAAATGAAAACCATACGATTCAAAAAATGTTAAAGCGACGTTAAAAGAACGTAGAAATAATAAACTCATAATAATCTCATAAATATGATATGATGTGTTCAAAATTATTTAGCATGAAGTAATTTTGTATCTTCTATATAAGTGATATGGGTACCGGCTACCTCAGACTCGGTCGCCAAGCATTCCTCTATGGAAAAACAAAAGAACCAGACCAATTTAAAAGGACACTAACTCAGAATCTTAATATTGATATTGGGCCGCTCAACTCCGGCGAAGAGATTGTATCCGAGGCCCATGACATGCACAGCATAGCTGATGTTGTAAGCCGCGTCCAAGATCTCCAAGTGCGTTCCGGTGAAGTCGACCGCCACCCAAACAATGGCGGAGAGCGACATGATGCAAATGTAGCTGTTCCACACGGTGTCTTCTGGGAGCGAGTAGAAACAGGAGACCAGGCGGTCCCGAGTCCACCATACTGGATGTTCTATCTGGATTTACGTAGATATTTTAGTACTTATGTAACCACTTGTTCACTAAAACCTCAAGCACTGGTCACCGTCCTCGCCGAACCCGTCGCTTGCGACGAAGGGCTCGTCGAGCAAAATAACCCATAGACACAGCCCACTGAGTTTCTCGCCGAATCTTCTCAGTGGGTCGCCTTTCAGATCCGGTGCTAGATTCTGCGAAGCACTGCTCTTGTTAGGGCCAGTGCTAGCAACATTCCGGTTTGAGCCCCGTGAGCTCACCTACACGTCAAGGAGAAGCTGAAATCGCCTATCAAGGCCATCAGCATAAGTAAAAAAAAAATCACTAATAATGTAAAGTAATGATAAGCATTATGGTTAAGTTATTTCTTTGAGTATCCGTAAAGTCGTATTTGTATAAACCACATGTTGACCTCGTCCAATCAAAATCTAATTTGATGCGGTAATCAAGTTGATTATCATGGAGTATGGTTTCTCGCCACGAAACTTGGGATAAGCACTGTCTATCGAAACAAACCTTATTAGAATACTTTTCGGCAGACCCACACATGTGAGATCAATAAGGTCGATTACCAAACATAATACTTACGTCATCGTATTTCGAAGGGAACTGAAACTCCAATTCTGCAGGGGACTGTGGCGTAATGCTCTTCCGATCATCTGTGATACTATGTTGACTAGTCATATCAAGATAGAGTCCGTTTTAGATCTTTCGGAAAAAATCTTCACAATTGTTTTCAACATTCGTTTGACATGTGTCAAAGCGCCAGATAGACGTTAAGAAGAAAATAACAATTTATAGCCAAGGAGAATATAAAAATTTTATCTGTATCCCAACGACTTAGCGCTTACTAACCATAACATCATTCATCACAGTGTTCATCACCAACCGTCCATAAGTAATACAGAAGAATATCTCGGATCGGAGCCATTGTGTTAAGAAAATATTAGGATACATTATTTTGTTATCTTTGGAAATTTGAAAAATGACCGCTGAAGTCAATTTTTGCATTATAATTACTTTTCAAAATTGCTGCAATAATAATCAACCATTACTTGTTGCCAAAATAAAAATAATAGGTAACCGTGTCTTTAGACGCAGTCTTCTGACCTTCATAAATAGTACAAATACACATAAATAAATACAATAATTTTTAATAAATACACATAAAACATAGATATTAATCAAACACACAGACAAAGAGCAAACAAAGCTGTTCGTCACCCGATGTGGTAATAATTTTAAATATTTTTAGAGTAATAACTTTCAAATTTTTAGTTTTGGCTAGTTTTAAATTAATTACAATGAAATTATATGAAACGAGTCGAGATCGGATAAAATAAATTTCCAGTAAAATGGTGCTTATTTAGTGGGAGTTTATCAGTTACAAAGGTTTGTCTGATTTTAGTTTTTTCATACTTGTGTACTTTTACAGATTCTAAACAGTTAATAAACCACCGTTATTACACATTTCATTCTGAAGAAACACGAAATAAAATAAAATAAACTATTTACGCAACATATTATGTTTTCGCGTTCCCTTTTGGCGGGCTTTTTTGTCTACCACAGATTATATCATTGACAGGTAATAAAAATTGCCAGTACGAGTGGGTGGCCATGAAGGCATGAACCAACAATCTGCCACACTTACAATCATAAAATATACATATTCTAATTTATGTGTTTTATATATGATATGTGTATATGTATTACATAAAAAATATTAACTAAAAAGTAAAAAAAATTCAAAGTATAGTAAAAATATAACTTAATGTCCGTAAATGTTTTTTTTATTGCTTTGATGAGTGACTAGCTGACCCTGCAGACTTCGTAGTGCCTCAATTAAAAAATAAAAGACCTAACTTTTGTAAAAAATAAACTTAAACAAACAAAAGAAATCCATCCGACGGGGGACACATCAAAGGAAAAACAAAATTGTTATTTTTATTTAATTACGAGCATTTTCATATTTATTTACCTTTTAAACCTTCTCTGGACTTCCTTAAATAATTCATGACCAAAATTAGCCAAATCGGTCCAGCCGTTCTCGAGTTTTAGCGAGACTAACAGCAATTCATTTTTATATACTTATATATAGATTTTAATATAATCGTTTTTTTTTTATAGTAATTAATATAATATATATTTCACAATGTTTAACTATTTAATTTCGCGGATACCATGTTAAAGTAAAACTAATAACTAAAACGAATATAGCAGCATCTCAAACGTTGATATCCGTCAAAAGGCATAAGCTGTACAGTGTGCCAAAGAAATAATTACAAATGTACATGTTAATTACAAAAACATTGCAAAAAGTCAATAACGTGATGAAGCTATAAGTTACATCACATTTGTTACTAAAGCCATGTCAGGGAGAGAATGAGAATCATATATCACGAAAGTTTAATTTTTAAAATTTGATTAACAGAGATAATAAAATTAGCAACGGTTACACATGTAAAATAGGCCTATGTTGGAACTGGAGTAATTGGATATATTTGACGTCATAGGTGTTTGATACAATTATAGCTATGAAAAAGTTTTTTATATAATTATTAGACACACCTACCAATAAACAAGACAACAACAATTAATTGGTTTGTAATTTAAATTACTTTTCCGTTTCACAAAAATCTTTATTAAGCGACCATTTTAATGTAACTTATTATATTAAACTAAATTATGCACTAGTTCAAGACGTACGTAGATTCATTTAATATATTACGTATCCTCTTTTGCTTTATTGACACCACTTTGAAAAAAAAAAACTGGCGCAATAAAATAACAAGAATAAACTTTAACAATATGTACTGAAGAAAAAAAAAGAAATTGAGTATCAGTTGACTCACAGAAGAGAAAGTGGTATTTATTTATTTCGTCTTTGCCTAATTAAAAATAGATTAGAGCCTCGAATAATTGTAGTCTACATTATTTTTGGACTTAGTTGTCTATTGTTCTAATATCACCAGGATTACCAGTTTTAATATTATAAATACATAATTACAACACAAAAGCGTATCGACTATCTTCCATTTATCACATAAGAATAGATCAGCAGACGAATCAATACTTAGTTCACCTAAAAGTAGCAATCATTTCCCGTTGACACCATCATATAAGGAAACTTCCACCGATCATTAGGCTGCAATGCGGAGTACATCAGACTTTCCTAGTCTTCATCTTATAACTTTTTCTTTGTATCGTATTCCACCCGAAACTGTCTATTCAGATTATGTCCAATCTTTGTCCTTAACCACACCGGTGCTATCTTAATGAAGAAGTACTGAAACAATATATAAAATGAGCATGTTTTAGATGATTTGGAAGTCGTCGTGGCCTAACGGATAAGACGTCCGATGCATTCGTGTTGAGCGATGCACCGGTGTTCGAATCCCGCAGGCGGGTACCAATTTTTCTAATGAAATACGTACTCAACAAATGTTCACGATTGATTTCCACGATGAAGGAATAACATCGTGTAATAAAAATGAAACCCGCAAAATTATAATTTGCGTAATTACTGGTGGTAGGACCTCTTCTGAGTCCGCGCGGGTGGGTATCACCACCCGCCTATTTCTGCCGTGAAGCAGTAATGCGTTTCGGTTTGATGGGTGGGGCAGCCGTTGTAACTATACTTGAGACCTTAGGACTTATATCTCAAGGAGGGTGGCACATTTACGTTGTGGATGTCTATGGGCTCCAGTAACCACTTGACACCAGGTGGGCTGTGAGCTCGTCCACCCATATAAGCAATAAAAAAAAAGAAAAAAAAAGATTTAAAATATTATCACTGGTCTAAGGGCGTCTTATGGACCAGCGCGGGTTGATACAAACACCCTGCCTATATCTGCTGTGAAATAGTAACCAAGTGGCCCAAGCTTCACAACACCAGTAAATGTTAGTTGATTATCGCAGTTCGCTAATACAATACTCAGAGTTCGCTGTTTTCTATTCTCCTGGGCATCCCTCAGTCGTCCTTTACGGTACTCACTGAAAGAAATCGGGTGGTGCCATTCTAGGCCACCCACTGCCGAGCCCATAAAAAATGTATTTATTCCTTCGCTCAACAATGGTACAAATCTGTACAATCATCACTTTATTCTGAATGCAGTAACCGCTATATCTTGTTAATCCAAGGGATAAAACTAAAGTATCTCTAGTTACGTCCATACCTGTATTCCATGAAGCCAATACCCAGTGGTGTCATGTACACGACCGAGAGTAGCCGCTGCGTGTTTTGCGTAAGTGGCAGCATCAGGCACCAGCAGGTTTCCGTCGAGAAGCCGCTGGGAGAACGAGTTCATCTTCGTTGACACGAAAAGTGGCGACATGTGCTGAACGTGGATCCCTTTAGGGGCGTATTCTTCGCGAATCGCCAGTGTGAAACTCCGAACGTAAGCCTGAAAACAAGGCCTCTGTACTATTAATACATATATAGTTTAAATACAAGTCAGAGCAAAAATTAATATGAATTCCTAATTTAATTTACAGATACCTATCGGACATAATAATGACGGAAAACTTGAATTGAAATATACTAGAACATTACTAGCATTAAACATATTGTTACGTCGGTAATAGTAACGTCATCTATCGCTGAATAGCCGAATGAATATCGAAGGAACTAGTAGTATCTAGAACGCTCCAGAAGCACAACGCCATCTATTGTGAGATAGCGGAAATACACAATACTCGACTTTTGTGGTATACTCTCGACGATTCTAGGAATTTCGTTTCAACTATAAAAGCGTTGCAGAGATGGCACACAGTCAGTTAGTAATCGGAACTACTCGAAGCGAAACAATGAACGGATCACCTGAAGCGAAGCGGAAGAAACGAATTGAGAATTTTAAAGTGTTCTAAGTGCTAATACAGTGTGAACTTGTTATTCGGTAGAATTTTATTTATGCCGAACCCCAGCGCGTAACAATATTGTCTTGTATCCTCCTTAAATAAAGAAATACAGTCAAACCTGGATAAGCGAGAGTTCAAGGGAGCACAATCTCATTCTCGCTTATAGAGGTTTCTCACTAACCCGAGTTTCTCGCTAATGCACCCTCTGAATTACATTGCGCGATTTTCCGGATTCAAACGCATTCACTATCTTAAGTTTATCACTTAATGACAGTACTTTAATTTTCCGTTTTGTCATGATGCAGAACAGAACTTTCCTTCGCAATTGATTTACGATAATCTGAGTAAGTCCGACAAACAGGACGGTACACAGGCACACGTGTCCATTCGAAAAGAATGCGATAAAATAACAACGTTATTTAGTTCCACGAAATAGAATAGGTTCAATATTGACGAGAAAACAATACAAAAACAATGGTAGGAAGTTCCACGAAAGTTAAGAACGAGTCATAAAATAGCAGATGTTAAATTTATAATTTGTTTTGTCATTTGTTCTAAATAAATAAAGTACGACTGTCGCTTATAGAGGTATAGATAAGTAGCAGTCTCACTTACGGAGGTCCATAAGGGAAAAACGACTCTCTCTTACAGAGGTTTTATGTTTCTCGCTAATAGAGGTTTTGGGAGCTTAAAATGACGGATCCTTGCTATTACTCTCACTTATAGAGTTTTCTCACTTATCCAATTCTCACTTACCCAGGTTTGACTGTATACCATTAAGATCAGACATCAATTAGAAGTATAGCCTTATTTCCAACTCCGAACTAACAAAATTCACAAAACTTGGCCAAAAATCGGTTGACTTCTAAGAGGACGTAGTGGATCTTAAAACTATGGTAAAAAATTTTGGTTTTAAAAACTTGTTAAACGGGTCTTCTGGTGAATGTTTAAGTTCTAACCTTGGTAGCTGCGTACACAGCCATCAACGGCAGTGGCTGCAGTTCGGAGCCGGAAGACACGTTGACCACAGCGCCCTTTCCCCTCTTGGCCATCTCCTTCACCACGAGCCGGGTCATACTGGTAACGGCTCCGACATTCACGTGGACTATCTCCCACGCTTTCGACATCGGCAGGTCACCAAGCTCCGTCGGGTAATCGTACTGTACGCCAACATTGTTCACTAGAATGTGTAATATCATCATCACAATCCCCGTAATTGTTCGCGAGGACTTATGGCACCCACGCATTGATCTACATGCAGTCCCGACAAGTTTTACCACCTTCCTTCAACTTACTCTAGGTCCTAGAGTGTCAGCGGCGTCAATATTCATAAACTTCAAATCGAATTGATCGAAAAGTCTCTTAATGTTTCATAATAGATATTTTGGAATAATTTTAGCTATACCTACCTAGTATACCGATAGGAATGTCCTTGAGTTCCTCTTCGATATGAGTGTACACTTCAAGGCCTTTACTGAAGTCAGCCACCACCATCTTGGTTTTCACGTTGTATTCTTTTTCTGGGTGTAATGATGGAGAAATTTGATTGGTTATTGAATAATAATTAGTTATTACATAATTGAAGAAAATGGATTACACAAAACAATTTAATCTTATGGTTATTTTATAAAGTCTAATTGGTCTTGTGTTATAACATTTCAATTTTTCTGAGTTTGTTATATAATTATTAACAGAATTTACCGATTTCAGTGACCGTAGCTTTCAATTTTTCAGGGTTTCTGCTGATGATGACCACGTTGAGGCCGCGTCGTGCCAGCTCCTTGGCGTAGTGTTTACCGATACCATCCGTGCCGCCGGTCACAACTAGAAATATATTTTAGTATTCATAATTAATTGATAATTTATCGAATTTTCTGTTATTTTATTTCATTAGATACCGCCTGCTCTTCTTAAAAGTTACTTGAGAGTCTTCTATCTCATGTCGCAAGGTGATTAGTGGATAAGGCACTTTGTGTTATCCAAGCGCACCGGTAACCAATTAAGATCAGTTGGATTGCAGACACTTTCAACTATTTACAGAAAGAAATAATGTTTTCTAGCAGTTGTTTCTTTTAAAATAGCTAACAACTTGCGAACCGTGAGCTCCTGATCACATTTTTGTTTTCATGGACCATGAGCCCGTTCGTTCATCTAATGAAATAAGCAATATTTTGAAACTGCTGTATCCGGTCAGTGTGGCATCATCTCCGACCTTACCGAAACAGAAATGCGGGGAACGTTCAATATAACCTTGCACATTTCGTATTTTTAACCAAAACTATATATTTTATGCTTCCATGACGATCGAAATTACGAAGCTAAGCGTTTCTAATTCCCTTTCATGCGTATAATATGCGTATGCAAGTAGATTCTCGAAGATCAGAAAATACTGAACTCAAGGTATTTAATTATCAACAGAATTAATTATTACAGAATTAAACATTAACATTTAATAATTTATTGAGTTTTATTCACAAACGCAAAAGCCGGTGTCTTGGGAATTCCTACAACCGTACATCAGTAGTGACAATCTAACCTGGTACAAGATGAATATACAACCCACCACCACCGTCAGTTGGTTCTCTTTGAGACGCAGGAACATCATCTCCCTAACAACCGTTTCGGCCAGTCTATAGCCGGTAAAGGCGGATGACCTACTGACTTCACTTTAAGTCTATCCCTTACCGTACCGCGCTCATCCTTGCAGACCTGCATCCTGCCTCCTGCAAGTGGAGTATTTCTGCCTTCGTAAAAAGGTGACACTTGATAAAACTTTCATAGACACACACAAATATGTCATGATCTATCCAAATGTGGTATTATTCACACTCGCAAGACTATAGGCTGCCTTTAAGAACTACAATCACATTTTCTGAGGTTAGCCGTCGAAGCATCTTGGTAAGTGCGGGATGTAGATATTGACTGAAGACCAAGACCTCGAATCTATCCATAAGTATATGAAGACTGCGTCAGAATCCTTGTTTATGACAGCAATGCGACATGTATCGTGACCGCCTCTACTACAACCCTGACGCTGCCCACATAGCAGCCAGCTATCGTTGTCACCCTAGACATGTCCTGATGAATCCACTTTATTCAGTAAATTCACTCTCGGTGCTGTTGGACGCTACTCGCATACCGAACTCGTCAAAGAATTCTACGTGACACTTAGTTCTATGGATTGACCCACTAAATTTCTCGTTGGATTTTCTTAGCGGATCACGCCTCAATCTGCAGGTAACTAGTCCTAGATTCTATATTAATATATTTGTTTACTTTTCCATTTCTGCTGATACGATGAAGGTCTTTGCGAACAGCGGTGGCTGACGATCGCGAAAGTGAACGACCCTGAAATCTATTGAAAACCATGTTCATGCGCAACTATGATAGTTTGCGCAATTTTTAAAGTCGCTTCGTCTGACGGGACACAACAAAACCGCTTAAGATACTTTATCGTGTCTATGAATTAATTATGTTTTGATATTAGGTATTTCTAAGAAGATTTTAACACACTCTATGATACATTTTGCGGGCATCTGTCTATATATATTTATATTAGTGATTTCTTCTATGTGGAACTGGAAAATTGACAGAAAGAAAACGCGCGTCATTCTAAATTAGCGGTTGGGGAACTTTTTTAATTATTACCCCAAAATTTTTTTGTGTAAGTTGATATTACCCCATGGCGAAGAACGAAAAAAAACGAAATCGCTTCTTTTTAGCATCTTTCATATTATAGCCCCCATGATAATTTTGAAAAGAAAACAATAACTAAAAATTTAACGATTCTAAAGAAGTTTCACTTCAATATATACTTTTTACTCACAAAAGTTTCATTTTTGTCCCCCAAAATTTCATTTTAGCCCATTTGGGGTAATTTACCCCGGTTCCCCGACCGCTGTTCTAAATGAACATCTTGAGACATAAATATAGCTTATTATATTGACTAAGCAGTCCTTCGAAACCAATCACATGTATAAATTTTTTGCAGATATCGATAAGATCGTGGTACTTAGACGCGCAGACTCCCGGAGCTCCTAATACTCTGCCTTCGATGGTAAATGACGTAAATAAGCAGGTGCATGTCGAGCAGTGTGCTTTTTGCGAGTTTTTTAACGTTCTCGATAGCGTAAAAGTTAGCTCATATTTGTATGGAATGGGATCGTTTGCCTATGTTTGTCGCTAGGGGCGCTGTTCCAACTGCATACAAAATTGGGCTAACTTTTACGCTATCGAGAACGTTAAAAAACTCGCACTAAGCATACAGAGAGCGTTAATATTGCGGCCTGCTTCCCAGATCTATATTAACGGAAACCTTACTCGAACAAATGGGAACCTTTTCAATTAGCACGTGGTTACGCTAATTCATTTAAATGAATACCTAATTTATATGGATCCTGTCAAATGAACTTATACGAGTCTGTCTATATTTATATATTAATACGTAAAGCAAAAACTTTGTATCCCTTTTTACGAAAAGATAATAGATTAATATTGTTTGTCTAAAGTGTAATCTTGGTGAAATCTGTAATTATAGAAGTATGATAGATAGTCTTTGACAATAGAATCATAATAGTGTACAAAATTATAATTTCAATTGATTATAGTCGAATTTGGACTACCGGGGACCACTAGTATTTATTTATATGCAAGTCACTTGTCTTAACGTCGCCGTCGCCGCGTCGCATAGTTACTACTCCGAGGCATAGCTATAAAACTTAAGCACAAAATACTATTACATAAACTTTCGCTTTCTACATTATCTCAAGTACAATGTAATGTCATTATTTCAAGGCGCCGTTAGACAAAGAGAAAGTTGTTATGTAAATCTTTATTACTTACGATCATTTATTATTTATGACGCGCATTTAAATCTATTTATACATACATGTAAAGAAAAACCTTTATACCTTTATTATTTAAAACTCTTTAGATTTTAATAAGGTTCAAAGGCTTTCTTCAATGTCATTCAGTGTCATGGAGTGAAGTCTGTCATTGAGTAAATGATAGGTTTCATACTTCAGTGGTAAATGAAGAGTTCAGTTTTGTATAGTTTATTAATACTGTATACTGTTTAATCTTTAATGTTAATTTTAAAAGAGATTAATGGCTTTAAATATTATTTTCTTATTATACATATAACAGAAAACGTAATTAAGTATTTTATTGTTTATTCGTTCTGAAGTACTCGACATCATTCTATACATACTTAAAAATTGTCATAATATTGCTCCCTTCTTCTTATTTGCTACTTATAGTTTAAAAAGTTAGTGCGTAAAATTACCGAAATTAAGCTGAATACTAAAATACTATTTTTATTGCAATAAATGAGTTCACGTCCCACTCTTTTTTTATTTTTATTTTTTATTGCTTAGATTGGTGTACGACTTCACAGCCCAACTGATGTTAAGTGGTTACTGGAGCCCATAGACCATCTACAACGTAGATGCCACCACCCACCTTGAGATATGAATTCAGAGGTGTCAGTATAGTTACAATCGGTGTTAATCATAAGCGATTCGGCTGTCAAGCGTGGCAGCGACGAATCGTTGCAATGCTCGACTTCTGGAGCGCACCATCTTGCAAGTGAGCTGGTGAGTGGGCTTTCTTATTAAGCCGTCGCCGAATAGGAATCCCGCCCGAATCCTGGCACCTAAATATATGGGGCGTTGGGACCCCCGACGAAACACCAGGAATACGACGTGTAAGCTGCATTACATGCTGTTATAATGAACACGCCGGAATGGAGCTTAACGTCAACTGTCAAAAAACGATCACCCTGTCAGGATAAGTTTCTTCTGTTTTGTACCGCGTTTTCGGGAATACGTAAAAAATGCTCCAGCGTTAAGTTCAATTGTATTCCTTGTGTGGTGTTAAAATAGAGGATTGACAATTTTCAGTGTGTACTTTTACACATGCGTCTTGTGAGGGAGCCACAGGATGACGGATAACGGCACTCCTGATTTACGCTGTTTCTGGTCTGGCTGAGTATCCTGGGGATACGAATTCACAGCGCTATCTAGGCGGACTTTTGTACAGATTCGCGTGTTACTGGTCCGTAACCTATGGATTAATTTGAATTAAAAGTATTTCCGCATTATTCATTCAATTTACACGGACATTGCGGTTTTCTCGTATTTCAAACAATTATTTACGGTCATATTTTTTTAATTGTTTTACAGCCTTCGTTTTTTCGTAAGCTGTCATAAAATAAAACTAATTATAAATTAGTTATGTCGACAGTATTCATTAATCTTTTTTTGTAATTTTTTTAAATTGCGTTTTAGAAGCATTAAATTTTTTTTTTTTTTTTTTATTGCATAGATGTGTGGACGAGCTCACAGCCCACCTGGTGTTAAGTGGTTACTGGAGCCCATAGACATCTACAACGTAAATGCGCCACACACCTTGAGATATAGTTCTAAGGTCTCAGTATAGTCACAACGGCTGTCCCACCCTTCAAACCGAAACGCATTACTGCTTCACGGCAGAAATAGGCGGGGCGGTGGTACCTACCCGTGCGGACTCACAAGAGGTCCTACCACCAGTAATTACGCAAATTATAATTTTGCGGGTTTGACTTTGATTGCACGATGTTATTCCTTCACCGTGGAAGTCAATCGTAAACATTTGTTAAGTACGTATTTCATTAGAAAAATTGGTACCCGCCTGCGGGATTCGAACACCGGTGCATCGCTACATACGAATGCACCGGAAGTCCTATCCTTTAGGCCACGACGACTTGTAATTGCTATTTGAGAATATTGAAAGAGTAGAATATCTTTCATTACATTGTTTGTTTGACAGACTTTTATCACCACGTACTAGTTACAATTAAATAGGCAACGCACGATTACTTCGCGGTAGAATTAGACAGAACGGTTGTATCAATTCGTTTGGGCTCACAACTAAAATCAGTACCAGTTTTCAATACAGGAATTACAGAAGATTATCTTAATGAGGATACAACTATTACGGACGAATTAATATAAAGTACTAACAATAGTAAACATAACTACATAATATTAAGTAGACATAACTACTAATTATATTAAGTAAGTGATAAAAACTATATTAAAAATTATATTAAAATCAAAGAAAAAAAATTTAGCACACATCGATTTTAAGTTATGTAAATTTACTGGAGATAAAAAGGCTTTATTATTATTATTATTACTAACAATAGTAACAGTCCAAGGAGGCCGTGCTGGCGTATCCACGTCGTATGAACTTTGATTTTTTGTCATTGCTATTCCTTTATTGTGTTAGTCGGTCATGCTAGGTGCGCGTTTAATTACTAAGCATAAAAAATAATAATAATATAAAATTATAACCTTGCCATAGTCACGCTTAAGCAAATCTGAACATGTAAGCACGTGCTTGATTTTCAATTAGTAAAATAAGTGTAAACAACTAAAATATTTTTTTTCTCTAATTTTTGCATGACCACTTTTATAAATAGAGTACTATCGTCGACACACGAGAGAACACATTTTGAATGGTTGCCACATCGTTGTGTCACGACCTCTGGGTTTCGTGTTGCAACTGTTAGGTTATAAGCGATGATTTCGCAACTTTGTCTAAAGATGTTTCGACTTTGACGGATTGAACAACGTTTTATTGTAACGTGATGTGAGTTCACGACGAATGCAACGGCCTCTTAGCTGTTTGAGCGGTGAGACAGACAGTGCTGTTCGAATTGAGGGTTTCCTCTGTGGATTTTACAGCCTGGATGCCGTTGTTCACCTTGAAACATTAGGTTGAGACCCAGTTTGTATAGGAGCCCAAATTCGTATAGGTCCCAAAATGTTTTTAGGGCCCTGCCCACTAAACAACTTCCCGTGTACTATCTCAGCCGACGTCTGATCTTCACCCGAGGTCAGAACCCGGGCAGAGTTGGAGGGTTCAGGGGATCAAACCCTCAGGTCGCTCCGTGACCAATACCATGAGGAGACTGCCTTTTTACAGGGACCGGAGCTGCAGGAACGCCCTCCTCCCGCCCGCGGCTCGGCGGCGGTGGCGGCACGGCGCCGACATAGATGAAAAGCTCCCCTTCTTCCATTCCGCCGCCTCCTTCCGCAAGATTGTCGACTCACAGAAGTCGCCAGGATTCATCACTGCCGAGCATCGTAACCACGATGGTCGGCAGCAACAAGTGCGGTCCTATCTTTGTGACGAAGACAAAGCGCTACTCCACTAACGCGGTCCACGAGTATATGCTCTACGGTGTCCTCGCCGCAACTTTTACAGTGGTGGCACTTCGGCATCGACTCCTCCCGGGCGACGCTACGCATGTAGCAAATAAACATGTCCCATATTACAAACTTATCAATAAAATACCCAGTGTCATGCTCCATAATGAATATCGCTAACTGGCTGAAATACACGCATTATCTGAACCGGCTCGCGATTTTCAGAACGAATTTTGTTGGTGATATAATTTAAAGTTCTTGGTAGCAGAGTCCAATCTTTAAATCACAGAGTGCAGGCAGTTACGAAATAATATACTAACACACTTTTATAAATTAGTATTAGTTACGTCGATGTTTTAGAATTTTATATCGAAATCACAGTTTTGTTATTTTATTTTATTTCACGAAGTGACCGATATTATTCACTTATTCTTATGACACCTCTTGTCTCTGCTTTTTATGTATAAGTTTTCTTTTGATAAGGAGTTTCTATACTATCAACTCTAATAGATGGAACTTTAATGGAGCTTTTGCGCGACCTCTTTACCGAGTTCGACGAGTACGGTTACCGGGTTCCCTACTCCTAGTGTTAGTATCTTTGTTGTGTTTTGATTTTACGTAGTATTACCGTCGTGATGTCCATGAGCTGTGATAAGCGTATACCAAATATTATTTACATGAAACCTTTTTACCAATAACAAAAATGTTATTATACATCATCATCGTCAGCCCACAGTTTATTTTATTATTATTTTATTGCTTTGGTGGGTGGAAGAGCTCACAGCCCACCCGGTGTTAAGTGGTTACTGGAGCCCATAGACATCTACTACGTAAATGCGCCACTCACCTTGAGATATAAGTTCTAAGGTTTCAGTATAGCTACAACGGCTGCCCCACCCTTCAAACCGAAACGCATTACTGCTTCACGGCAGAAATAGGCAGGGTGGTGGTACCTACCCGCGCGGACTCATAAGAGGTCCTACCACCAGTAAAGTCCACCAGTTGTCCACTGCTGGACATAGGCTTCTCCCAATCCACACCACTGAGCCTTCGCGTATCCTCGTCCAAACATACATTTTAATTCTATCATTACAATATAATTTTATAATTAATATCATTATAATATTTTTTTGTTTTCAATTGTAATTTTATCTAACAAAAATAATAATGGTCTTGTTTAAATATTCATAATATTACATATATATTATAATCATAATATGAAGTATATTCAATTGACTAATTATATTTTAACTATGTAATTAATTATATTTATTTTAAAACGAGTTTCTTGTTTTGCCTTCCAAAAGGAAGAATCTTAATGCGAACATTTTTTACTGTATTAATTATTGTATTAAACGGTACACATATATTATATCTATGTGTGAGTATTCGTATCGTATAGAGATGAAGGATATAGTTGTGTATATGTGCACAAACCGCCATTATACCTACATATTCTAAAGATACATTATTTTATATTAACTAGTAGAAACTTGTGAAAATGTTCAGAAGATATTTATTTAATTTTCTGATTGAATTTATAGAAACCTGATGATAAGTGACCAGCGTCTCTTATGGAGGCCAGCAACGTTACTCATATTCTTATTACACGAAGATAGCCTATTACACGTTTATCGTATTTATTTAAATATTGTAATACCGCAAATATTTTTGTTTTCTTTAACTTAGTACCTATTCATTTATTTAACCTATGTACATAATATATTATAGCGCATACTGATTTACAATCTTTTAATTTTAAATGTTGTCGGATAGGTAATCGTCTAGATAAGGGCTCGATATGTGAGATAAAAGCTCTAATATAACAAAACACGTATTCATTATGGTTTAACGAAACCATTAAAAAACAAATCTTGCAAACCAGTACCTAAGTAGTATTACAAAATCCGACGGAAATGAATACATACCGGCCCACGATCCGAACTTTTTGGTCAGCGGCTGATCCTCGGCGGGCAGGAAGTACGGCATCAAATAAGACGAAACCAACTCTAAAGGACTCCACAGCGAGTCCAGAGCAATCGACAACACAGCCAACAAACCGATTACAACTAGAAGAACTATTAACAACGTGAAAAACATATTTCGATCGCTTTTTTGAACGTCTCAGTAAGCGTGCAGCCAAGCTCAGTGTAAGTCGTTGACTAAGCAGTCGATACGAAACGAGCTAGCGGCTATCAGCTGCTTTGACACTATCGCTTGACCTACAAACTCGCGCTGCCTGCTACCATTGTTTACCAGTATGTGAACTTTCAAACTGTTCGGTAATTTATGACGTTTCTATTGACCTAAATTAGTTAAGAAATTAACACTTAATTGGCACGTTCGTCTGGAACTTGCTATCCACATACCGTTTACAAGACGAAACCATTTAGTAAGACACAAATCAATAGATCTTTGTAATAAAAGTTAAGACAATAATACCCGGACGCAACAACAATAATAACAAGCAATGAATTGTGCTCTGATGTTAAGTTCTGAGAATATAAATATAAAGAGGAGCTAGCTGTTTTTATCTTCTCACACAATTTCTCAAACCACTCTTTTATTTATTTATTGCTTAGATGTGTGGACGAGCTCACAGCCCACCTGGTGTTAAGTGGTTACTGGAGCCCATAGACATCTACAACGTAAATGCGCCACACACCTTAAGATATAAGTTCTAAGGTATAGTTACAACGGCTGCCCCACCCTTCAAACCGAAACGCATTACTGCCCCATGAAACTTATGCTACATGACACAGATAAAACCAAAATTCCTTTTTAGATCGAGAGCAACCAAGTGATCCGATGTTTGAGTAGTTTTATTTATAACTAATTAGTAAATAAATTTTATTTAATAAAAAAAGCTCTCGCATGCACCCCCCGATTACGAGGTCGTTGACCGCGCTAGTCAGCTTAGTTATTTGTGTTACATTACGTGCAGTGCATTACATCTTCACTAAAATGTTATTTTTATTTCCATAAATCAGATGGTATTGGATATGTTTTTATGTTTTATTATTATTATCATATGTATTTGGTCAATAAATTCACAGCCCACGTGGTGATAAGTATATCCGGCTATCTACTACTCGAGTAGGAAGATGTCATTCATGCATAGTAAACTTCAGATCGCGGCTACCAATTTAGGACAATGATCTCGAAAGCGGTGCATTGACATCGACCCCACGAAAAGCACAGTCGAACTCCTCAAAAGGGGTCGTTCACCCGACTTTAAAAGTCATCGTGGCCTAAAGGATAAGACGTCTGGTGCATTCGTGTTGAAGCAATGCAATGGCGTTCGAATCCCGCAGGCGGGTACCAATTTTTTTAATGAAATACGTACTCAACAAATGTTCACGATTGACTTCCACGGTGAAGGAATAACATCGTGTAATAAAAATCAATCCCGCAAAATTATAATTTGCGTAATTACTGGTGGTAGGACCACTTGTGAGTCCGCCCTGCCTATTTCTGCCGTGAAGCAGTAATGCGTTTCGGTTTGAAGGGGGGGACAGCCGTTGTAACTATACTGAGACTTTATCTTGTATCTCAAAGTGGGTGGCGCGCCTACCTTGTAGATGTCTATGGACTCCAGTAACCACTTAACACCAGGTGGGCTGTGAGCTCGTCCACCCATCTAAGCAATTAAAAAAAAAAGAGACCAATGTTAGTACCTCGTCACGAATTACGTACGTACGCACGTAATCCCGCCATTAAAATCTATGGCCTGCCCATATCGTAGGCTTCGAAGGCCAAATACCGAGGTGTCATGCCCAAACAGAGGGATAACATTCCGTCGCTTGCGACGAAGGGCTCGACAAGCAAATTCACCCACATACACTGCCCACTGAGTTTTTGGCCGGATCTTCTCAGGTGGTCCCGTTTCCGATCTGGTGGTAGATTCTGCGAAAGACTGCTTTTGCTAGGACCAGTGTTAGCAACACTTCCAGTTTGAGCCCCGAGAGATCACCGTCCGGGCCAAGCTGGAATAGCATCTTAGACTACCAGTAAATAGGTAGAAAAAAGAATAAGTAAGGTACAATGAGGTCAAAGCCTCAATTGTACAGCACAGCGGTGCTCCCGTCCTGACTGATTCTCAGAGTGAACCTACGTGACCAGTCGTACAACACGCCTTTGTTCATAAAGAGAAGTGTGTCCAGCAATGTCCAGGGTTTGGATTCTAATTGGACAATAGTATTTATTAGGTAGAATTCAACGGATGCACACATCGAGGGAAGAACGTATTCAGCCCAGGCTCCAAATATTAAATATCTTGATAAAGGAACAGACTTCGACTGGATATCGAACGAAACGCGATTGATCAAGTATGATCGATACAAGTTCACAAGTTACTGTTCATTTGGTTACAAATGGACGCAGCGTGTTCGGGTTGTATATGTTCGAAATAATCGAAAATTGGTAACGTCTGTGAATAACAATAGCAATAGATGCTAAGACTTTGCTGATGGTAGGACAACTTGTGAGTCCGCACGGGCCCACCCTGCCTATTTCTGCCGTGAAGCAGTTATGCCTTTCGGTTTGAAGGATGAGGCAGACGTTGTACTGTTAAAATTAAGACCTTACAACTTATGTCTCGAGGTGGGTGGAGACATGCACTTCGTACGTGTCTATGGGCTCCGGTCACCACTTAAAACCAGGTGGGCCGTGAGCTCTTCCACCCACTTAGGCTATAGAAAAAAAAGACTTGAGTTCAATTATTAATGCTATGGTTGTGTATGTACATTCATTTTATGAAATGTTAAATAAGTATATCGCAGCAAATAGCCGATACAGAACTCATATTCTTGAACCAATCACACGAACTGAATTTTCTCGAACTCCAACGACCGATAACTGTAACAAATTGACAATTTTAATAAATAAAATACCAAAGTGAAATTATTATTAAGACTTTTATTTGTTACGGTTAAATTTTGATTTAATTATTTTTATTGCAATAAATAGTTTTATTATATATCATAGCCGTGACAAATATGTCTATTTAAAACATTCCATACTGACAGACCCAACAAAAGACAAAACATCTTTCCGGTTATAGCCTTATATCAATATCTCTGAATAGTATTATTGTCCGCCATTTTGGATTGGTAATAAATGAATTGACAGATGCACAGACAAGCACGTCAATAACAAATTTAATAAAACCAATTCATATTCTATCCGTCAAACCGAAATCCATGTTTACTTTGTAACAGAATTGAACATAATTAATGCCGAGGCAGAAACAAATAGTATCCCGCGATGCGTGACTACGTTTTGATGAGATGGCACTTCGCTGGTCCGTATATTAACTGCTTCTCTCTAAGCACGTAATTAACTTAGCGCTTAAGCTGCTACTTGTCATTGCTTTGGCTTTAAACACAGCTACAGATTAGGGATGATCGAAATTCATCGATGTTGAATAAGCATCGATGTTTAGCTGAAAAACATCGATGATTTTAACATCGTCGACGTTTTGGTTTCGATGATATCCACACATCGATTGTATGAGAATAAAATATCGAATAATCGAAACGTCCATATATCCCCTAGATACAACTATTTTAAACTAGATGATACTGATCAACGTAATCGAAGTAAGCCGTACTATATAAATGTGTGTGAAATTAAGAAAATGTTAATTGTGAAGTGTAATGTCGGAGTTAAGTCCAATAATGAAACGCCCGTTTATAATTCGTAAAACGTAGTTTTAATGAATAAACACTTATAATAAATAAAATAAACCTTTTTATTTCCTACCAAAACCATCGATGTTTTACTATCGATCTTTATCGTACATCGATAGTTTCAAATCGATGCTAACATTGATGTCAACATCGATGTTTTTCTAATATCGATCATCCGTACTACAGATACAGCTGCATACACATTCGAGTATGCTCGCTCCTCTACGCTCAACTCCACATAACGTTCACTGTCGCAATAATACATATTACTATGATCAAAATTTTCAAATATCATTTTAGTTTCGGAATATAATTTCAACACTCTTGAATTTTTATTGCTCTTGAGCAAATTACATTCGAATTTTGTGCTATTAATTAATGACTAAAAAATTTAATGTAATTTTATTAGACGGTTTCACTTATTATGTAAGGTTTGCTTTCAGTCTCTGATTTGATCTGCTCTTCCTCCAGCTGGTTGATACCCTTCATCTTGTTCTTGATCACTTCGTATGGCAACACTGAAACAGAGAAGCTTTCATTAGGCATTTTTTTAATTTCGATGTCGTCTTAAGGGGTACATAGTTGATCTATTTTTTTTCTTTTTTCTTATTGCTCAAGTGGCTGGACGAGCTCACAACCCACCCGGTGTTAAGTGGTTACCTGAGCCCATAGACATCTACAACGTAAACGCCGCCACTCACCTCGAGACATGAGTTCTAAGATCTCACTTTAAAATTCCAAATGCTGCCCCGCCCTTCAAGCCGAAACGCATTACTGCTTCACGGCAGAAATAGGCAGGGTGGCGGTACCTACAAGTGCGGACTCAAGACGCTCTACCACCAGTAAAAGATCTATCGCTGCATACAACTATCATTACTTTTTATGCAAAAAAACAAAGAAAAGCAGAGATAAGAGAAGTACACCTGGATCGTAAAAGATGATTGATAGACAAACTCCCAGTCTAGCTGATGTTTGACGATTCCAATTGTACTGTATATACGCTACAACATAGACACAACATAGACATACCCTATATAGCTGTTATGCAATTGAAATGTTGACCTTGAAGATAAACCCGATTATAGATGTAGTGAGAAATTATTTTCCTTCGGGAAAACTCGGATCTATATCGGAATACGATGACACCCGAACTGTAATGAATGATCGTCTTAAATGTGTGACATTTTCATATCCAATAATATGGAACTTTATTGTTAAGTGTCAAAGGTCAAAATGAATAATGTCATTGTACTGAAGCTATTTGAGAGTTCACGGTAAATACGAACTTTTCCGAAAAATTACGAAGGAAAATCTTTTCTGACTATATCTATACGAAGTCTCGGGCAAGTCCAACACCTCATAGAGTAACATAAGATTGTCTCAAACAAGCTGGTGGTGATATTCAATTAGATATGTGTATCGATTCTGGTCTTCATTTAAGAACAGATAGACCGTTATC